ATAACACTAAGACTATGTGAAGCGACCGCTCCAGCGGAAACTTTGAGTTAGGAGTGAACTTTCCACGCTTGCCATGTCCATCTTTGAGTCACTTCCCTGGCCAAATTATGAATCTCCCAAACCCTTATGAATGCATTGATTCAGTCAGACGTTGACCGTATTAGGACTACAGAAGCAATTACTTACCTCTTTACCAGCTTGCATATCTTCTTGCATTTTCTCGACGACTCCTTCAATGAGGTTGTTCACAGACGACAAGGCGCGTTCCTGTTCATTGCTACGTGGAGTGTTCACAGATACCTAAAGAAATATGTGATTGCAAACAGTGTCAGAGCTCTCAAGTTTGCTACAGTCCACTCATGAACAAAAAAGATACAATATCCAAATGATGCGGTCAAGAGAGGTTGAGAAAGCCATACAGGTACATAACTACAACGGTGGTATTGTACGCAGCGCTATCAGCTTCACAATCCCATTAGGTACAGTCCATATCTCAAAGTCTGATTGGGCGTGTCACCGGAAATGACGTGGCAGCCGCACTTGATAGAAGTTGCGTGGATAAGCTGCTTCTGGCCTGCCTTGCTGATTCCCAGCGAAGTATGTTGGAAGCAGCTTATCCGCGCGACTTCTATCAAGTGCGGCGGTCGCCACGTCAAGTCCGTAGACCGCCTATCAGACGGTTTGATAAGAACTGCACGTACAGAGTTGCTTTTTGCTTTTTGTGTTGAAAATCGATATTATTTGGAGTTTCGAGTGAGTTTTTCATTCTTTTGGATTGTCGTGCTTAAGTCTTATGAACCAGGGCTGAAGGAATGTTTCAGTGAGCACATTTTCAAGAAAAGCTCTCCAAAATTCATTGGAAACTTTCATACAACGACCGCGTGATTTCTATAGACCAAGAATTCCTAAAGATAAACTAAGGATGTAACTTTGAAGGGAATTTCCAACAGATACATAATAATAGGTTGGCGCATAGGTTCTGCGACACATATCACTCTTGAAAACCTTACTATTTTACAATACATAGAAAGTGTCATAACGCAACTTGCATGATCCGTTGGACACGATAG